CTTGTTAACCCTGACGATGCGGTTTCTACCGTCCTCAACCCTAGCGAAGATTACAAAACCAGCGTACTCAGTGGACTAGATCCCCATACTATTATGGAATGTGCTGGGCGTGCTTTGGCATTCTGGACGTATCAGTCTGCCCAGGAAATGTATATCTGAGGTATTGAATATTGATTGCGTGCTGCGTCTGACGTGAAACAGTTTTTATCAGGAATATCTCAGCAAAAGTTTGACCGAGAAATATGGTGTCCTAAACCAACAAATGGACAAGGTGATTCATGACGCAAACTCAGAAATATCGACTCTGCAAAACCGCATTTCAGGTATTATCTTCCTCCCCCAGTCTTCGATGAACTGTGGCTTATGCGCCACTGTAGAAATGCAAATAAATCAGGAGCAGCTGCAAAAGAAGAACTATGAGCTAGTTGAGATATATCGAGATAAATGCAAGAAGCATGCCCAAGTAACGAACCTCTACAATCTCCTTAAAAACCAGGCGATGAGGTCTCAGATTCAAACAGCAGCATCGGATTCCGTAATCCAGGTCCTTGAGTCCCTTGGTGGAAGGGCCAACTCCGGCTCAGGCGCAGATGATTTGTTCCGTCCTTCAACCTCTCTGGCTCCATCTCCTCGACGTAGCCCTGCCAGGTATCCAACGGCAAATTCAGGAATCGAACAACTGCACCGCCATCAAAGGAGTGGGAGTGGAAGTATCACGAAAAATCGCCTAGACTCCGCGGCAATGCCTCCTCCTAGCGGTATGCCACCGCCTTTCCGGACCAGTACGTGTGAAAATTCATCCAGTTATATGGCGTAGCTTGATCTGACCTAATAAATTCTAGCCACATTATTACCAGCGACGCCGCAACATCGCACCAGGCTCCCTGGCCCTCCATCTTCGACCCAGAGGCCTGATTGCCAGGAGCGTCAACAACATGGCTATACACCAAACACTCAGATTTTCCCTGCTCCGCAACGATTCGCGCCCGCAGGCGTTGATAGCAGATTTTCTAGCATTAACTCTGGCAACTATGGCCTGAGTTCTGGCATCAAAATCGGCCGCCCCTCTGACGCCTCCACCGAGGGTTCTAATCCTCGATCCAACATTTTCGGGATAGGAAGCATGATGGGGAATGACAATTCCCATTAATATAACTAATATTTCAAATACGAGTAACTTCCTATCCCATCAGCATATGTATGATAGCATGTTTTATATAGCTTCATTGGGAAGGATCAACTCTCTCAGTTTTATGTATTTACAGTTAATTCCGTAGGAGACATGAAAAATATCGTCGTTAGGGGCTAGGGGTATGCTCATGGCAAATGGTTCCTTTTCCCTCAAGAGTCTAAATCTCTTTGAAACGCAACAAAGTTAACCAACTAAATCCCATTTTAGTAATTATTCACCACGGAGCCACGCGACTCAAAAACGATACTATCAGCGGTGGCACCATTTCTCACGTTGGCCAGTTATACTTCGACCAATCAGTCCTTAAAACTGTAGAGGACACAGCTCCGTACACGGCGAACAGGCAACGATGGACACAAAATGACAGAGATGGTCTTTTCAGGCTGGGGTTTCGGGGAGGCGATAACCCAATAATAGAGTCCCAGATGGTTGGCAGGTCCATTAAAGACGGACTCTGGGGAACCATCGACGTTGGCGTCAATCCTCTCGCCGTGCAGAACCCCAGAAATGTAAGCCTCTTCCCCGCTGATAGTGAGGTGCGCACCTCCGGCTCCATGCGGGGTACACACCCTACGAGTAGCGCCGCACCACCTAGACCTTCCTCCGGATGTGGTCCCGGCAAAACTCTCAGAGGGGGAGGACTAATTGGTGGGGCGGTGCGAAGTGTAAGATCAATTTTTCAGCATTTGCAGAACTGAGATGCGGATATAGGGTGGCAATAAAAGTTTTGGGGTATGATGAGCAGTTATGTATTACTCTCAACACTAGGATTTGTCCAGCGTGTGAGTAATTATCTTAATTTTCGTCTTTTCTTTTCTTTTCTTTTTTCGTCTTCTTCTTCTTCTCCTCCTTTATCATTTTTGGTTCATTGTCCTTATCCTGCAAGCTGGAGTGTTTTGTATTAGAGTTCCGTCTAGCAATAAAGTCACGTTCAGTAAGGTTTTTCTCACTGATCAAGTGTTTTCTTCTTTTCTTCCTTTTTCTTTTTTTTTCTTTTTTTCTTTTTTTTTTTTTTTTTTTCCCCTGCGTGAACACTCTCAACGGACTCTAATCTTAGGCGGGGAGAATGGGTAGGTACAAATTCTAGCAACAGTGAAAGTGAGGAAGGCCAGCATTGGGATCAGGAATCTTGTGCCACAACCTGCATATCATTATCCAGAGTGGGCAGGAAAGCTTTATTGTGCATGCATGCCATCAGGCTACTTCTCGATGTTGAGGCAGGATTTGGCCTTGACTGCAGCCGCCCGGACAGGACACGACACGACATAGCTCCTCGACGTCAAAGCGGACAGGACATATCACTAGCCCAATTCATGGACTTCGTTTCGAATAAATCGGCCTCGAGAATACCCAAAAAAGACCATGATCGGAACTCGTTGATAGCTGATATTATTATTATTATTATTATTATTATTATTATTATTATTATTTGGGCGGGGCCAAACTTACCCGTCCATGTAGAGCAGCGTGCTTGTGAAGTAGTAGGAGCTGCTGACATGGAGGAAGGGGATGGGATCCGGGAAACTGAGACTCGAGATGCAAAGATAAACGCGAAACGCCTCAGGGGGCTCCTTGCAGGCGCGGATCAGGATCATTTTCACCACATAGAGGCCACTGATGTTCTCGACTTGGTTGATTTCGCAAAGTTGCATTGTGCCTACAGACACATCTTGGAAATTACAGTGGAAGAACAAGTTGCCAAATGTTGCTGCAACATCGGTAATCAGCATGGGGAATGGAAACATTCCCACATAGTTATTTATGCACCCTCTCCCAGTATCTCTTGAGTGATGGTTATTTATACTCGTTTTCTCTGCGACTTGTGGAGTGAGATAGACAGCAAGCAGGAGGAGGCCCTTTAACACCACAAACTTGGCCACTTTGTGCTCAGGTATGTCTTCCCATATTAACGAAGTGCGGGGGTGCCAAAAAAAAAAAAAAAAAAAAAAAAAAAAAAAAGGCACAGGGAAATCAATATGCATAAGAAACAAGGGCCGTATCGAGAAGGGTTTGTATTAGGTAATGTTCAACCAGGTTTCTCATTCTCAAGATCCAGTTCCGAATATCTGAACCATTTTCATCAGTGCATCATTCCCAGTCTCTTACGAATTGGTAAAAGAAAGGAAAATGAAAGTGAAAGTGTAATGAAGTATGGAATGTAGGTAATAGCATCAAGAATATCAAGATAATGTAACAGATACTGCATGCATGAGGCTCATGTGTTCACAACTAAAATACGATAAAATGATATCAAGCGGAGAGAATACAAATAAAGATATCTGAAGAAAACCAAAAAATAACGATAAGAAGGGAAATAGAATCAAATCAGAAGATATTGAAGAAAAGAAGTTAAAATGCTCATTTTCTCCTAGCCCCTTTCCCTTTTCCTTTCCATATAGATATATATCCCGTTTCCCAGCTGCGGGGGAAAAAAAATAAAGAAGAATAGAATGGAAGAATATGATAACAAATGAACAAGAGCAAGAAATAGAAGAATTAAAATGAAGAAGTCCAAGAACATGAACATGAAAGAGGGGCAACTAATCAAAATCAAATATAACCTCCAATTTTGCCTTTCCTTTTCCTTTTCCCTTTTCCTTTTCCCTTTTCCGTTCTTCCTTTGCCCTTTTTACTAATATTGGCAGGTAAAAAGGCCAATAATAGAAGAATAACATAATATATATCCCATAAGAGTTTCCTACCATTGATGATATCTTCTCGTTTCGAAAAGAAAGTTCCCATATTCCCATTTTTGCTTTTTGAATAGCCTTTTTTTAACTAGTTTCCTCCTTTAGTGTTCCCGCCGTATATATAAGGTAACTATAACAATATTTGTTCTAGAAGAAAAAGAACAAAAAGAAAAAGAAAATATATATATATACCAATAATAGCAGAATAGTTCGAGTATACAAATTTCGACAGGTGTGGGAGATGAGTATAGATAGATAGGTGTCTCCGGAATGTTTATAATTGCTCCGTCGATTTATCGATTTGTGAGTGCCTGTATTGACTTTCGTAGTTCCCAGGTACTGATAAAGTTGGATCCACAGGTCCTCTGGCGGGAACCAAGAGTTAAAATTTCGAGTTCCTGGTTCCTGGGTTTTTCGATAAGTTAAATCTAACTCTCTACCTCCTCCGCGTTTCGTGCGGAAGACGATGTAGCAACAGCTGGGGTGCCAGGCACACTGGCAGTCCGAGACCTTTTGGTACGCTCTAGCCACTTGCGCTTTCCAACACGGGTCTCTAAATGCGGTGCGACAGAAGTGAGTCCTTGGCCGGCAGTGATCATCGTGCTGCGCATTTTGTTGCGGTATGCATCCACTAAGAGTAACAGACGCAATTAGTCAAGAGAGTTCCTGACAACCGAAAGAAAAGGAGGGGTTGGGAAAATGCGAAAGTGAAAAGGCTACATACAAGCTCTCTGCAAGAAGAGAGTCCTTCCCGCGAAGACTCTGCTCTGTCCCCAGCTCATGCGATATCCCAAATCGTTCAGCATAACTTCCTTATCGCGCTTGCCTCTTCCGATCCTAGGGACTGCCAGATTCGCCGCTCCATCAAGAGTGGGCACGGGAACCAGAGTTCGACCAACGGTTGCTTCCTCATCGTCGTGGCTGTCTTCGCGATTACTCCCGACATCATCAACGAACCTATCACCACGGTTACCGCGCCCAAACGGACTCTGTACGGGGAAATACGTCCGCGGGAACACAGAATTCGACTTGCGGTAAGAGTCCGGGATTTCCTTCATGTCTACCTGGTCCAGCATCACTTTAACTCGAACTCTGCAACCACGCTGCGGATCCTCAACGACGATAAATTTCCTTCGGCGTCCCTCGGGAAGGTCGCCGAAAAGAGCCGCTTTATCAAGATTGCGATCGTCACTTCCGGAGCGGGAGTGGGAGGTTGCAACAGTAGAATGGCGACCTAAGTGGTCTAGGCCTGCGTCGCGCAGAGGAGGCGGCATGGAGGGGCCTGTTTGGGAATTGGAAGAAGCAGTAGTTGGATATGTTGGGTAGCCATGGAACATATGGCCAGGACGAATGTCTGCCAGGGCTGGCGCAGGTTGGGTGTAGGTGTTTGGCGGGGCAGGTGGGCGATGAGTGCCGTTCGAGTATTCAGCGTTGCCTATACACGAATAATATCAAAGGAACGGCGTAATATTAGCCTACGCTGTCTGGCATCATCTGGCAATGTTTACCATGACGGCAATGAGGATAATCGAGACATAAAAGAGCACACCATGCTAGGAATGAAAGGTGGTAACCCCCATGGTTGACGAATAAGAGTGGTAGAGAGCAAAAGAAAAAAAGAAAAAAAAAGGAAGATCAGGATAAATAAGTACACATCAATACTGCATGCTTCCAAAATACTTTCGAAGATCTACACGAAGCGTCAAAATCCTCCATCCGCCATAACAAGAAGGAAAAAGTGGAATATATAAATGGTTGCATCTCAGAAAAAGAAAGAAAACAGCTTTCCAATAAAGTAGAGAAAAAATATCACATTTGGTGAAACATACCGCTAACGTCCTCTCCACTCTGTGTTGTACCTGATTCAGATGGGTGTGCATGATGATGATGAAGCTGTGGACCTCCCATACTTAAACTTCCAGTGGGGGCTAACCCAGTACTACCAGGAACTCCTGCAGAAGGGGGTCCCGTCAGGTGATTGGTATGTTGTGCGGAAACGGCTTTTCTGTTGTTAAGCTTGGCCATTCTCCTTACTCTGCGGCTGCGCAGCCGTGGGTCTTGGTTGCTGTTGCGCCAACTATCAACCGCTCTTTGGATAAGGCCACGCTTGCCGCGTAAACAAGTGTTAAGTTCAGCCAATGCCCACCCGACAGCGTTGCATTCGGTTTCGTACACCAGACGATTCCCTCTGTACTGATCCTTTGAGCAGCATGCTCGTGGATACACGCAGTTTTCGGTCTTGAATTCTTGGCTCAAGTTTTCAATGTTGATATTTTCTACGTCGCATCGAATCGTGTATTCCATTTTAACGCGATCCCGCGAATATTCAAAAGCAATCCACTGGACTCCGTTCTTATCTTGTCTAACGACAAGCGGGGTGGTCGCGGGAATTGGGCCAGGAGCAGCACTTGTGTTATTTCCGCCCGACCCTGAATGAGTGGCACCGATTGATACGGGAGGCGGCTGGTGTGATTGGTTTAGTGGTGTTCTTTGTGGAGGAGTAGGTTGTTGAGGAGTTGGATCAAATTTCATCCGTGGGCTGCTTGTGACCGCGCCAGGATGTTGTTGTGCTTGTTGGTGTTGATGTTGCAGTTGGCCAGGGGTACCTTGATGGCCCACAAGGAGGGGCTGAGATGTGAGATGGGCATGTTGTTGGCCAGGATGAGGCGCATACGGGGCTGTGTGGACTGGGTTCATGGGAGGAAATTGCGGATAGCCGTACATGCCCGATGCCATCTGGGGGCGGGCTGGGCCGTAGAGGGTTTCTTCCATGGGGGTCATGGCTTGCGGCGACGCGACAGAAG